ATACATATTTACTGTATATTCAAACAAAAAATTATTGCAGTGCTCAAAAAACAATCGTCTTTAAAATTGAATTCAAACTTGTCAACATACTATACGCTGGAAATTTGAAAATTTCAGCGCAAGTGGTCGGGGATTCATCTCTAAACTATCTTCAACCAGGCAAACTTTTAATTAGTCTCATAATTTGAACACTGACTTGACATACAAAATAAAAGGAAAATAAATTCTAATATCAAGAAAAAGAGGAAGGCAGCTGAATTACAAACCTGGTCTTCCTCCACGTCCTTCGTGGCGGAAAAGAAAATGGCTTTCAAGCCTTGTTCCGCAAAATAGTTAGCCCAAGCGTCTCGTTGCTTTCTGGTTAGAAAATCGGCCTTGTTCACGAGGATAACGTTTTGTTTCTTGGAATCCACTTCTTTGACGTAGCGTTCCAAGTCTTTGCAACGAAACAGCAACGGGTTCCTCGCATCAACAATCTGCACCACCACATGACTGCAATTTGCAAAATGAACAGATTCCGTTATCATACAAATTACAACACAGCGCACTAAACTGGATTGTCGTGAACTATTAAAGTAAAATAAAAAATACAAAAAAGGAATAATATTTTTTCTTTCACAAAAAGTACATGAAATTCAGTCACCAGAGTTCATGCATACATTCAAGTTGTAATGGAATTAAAGTCTCCGCAAATGGGCTGCCATTTTAGGCATAGATACAAATTACTTTCGGATACAAAATAATTAATTGCATCAATTTACTACGTTTCGGTAAAATTTGGATTCAATTTAATACGGTGGCATCAATTCAAAAAATGATTACAACAAAAGTAACACTTTCAAAAATGCTGATTGTTAGTAATACAGTACTGTATATTTTAAGAATTCCTGAGTCAATTCTGAACAAAGCACCACGACAAAAAAATCAACATGCGTTAATTATCTTGGACATGGATTCTTTTGAAAATAATACTCAAAAAAATTAGACTTCGATAAAATACGAGAAGTTCTAAAAAAAAAACAGGAACTAAAGCTATCACGTATTTCCAAAAAAATTTTCTCGTCTTTTATGGTTTTAATAGCAACTTCATGCGGAAACGTTGAACTGCCCCATGTCACGCAGAATAAAAGCTGTGTAAATATAATGAGGGGTTACGAACACTTCAAAAGTCTTCAATATATTTTTATAAATGTATTTTCTGAGCCAAAATTCGGCAAAAATAAAGATGTAAAAAAAAGACGACTTCAGGAATAATGAGCAACAAGTTTTCGGGTCAGACTGACCTTCTTTCCACGACGCGCCAGAGTTGACGCCAAAACTCCAGATTTTTCTCAAATGGAGTCAAAATTACGCCATCGGGACCAGATTCGATTTCTGCCAGACGACGACGCCATTCGAGGAAAGATTCTCTCTCCAACATGTCGAGTTCTTCTGGCGTTGTAGAGGCATCCCAAGCAGGCCTGAATAAACACAAAATTGCCACTTCGAATTAAAAAAAATTGAATACAAATCAGTCCTCTTCAGAGGGAGCCTAACATTTCGTCAACAATAAAACCAGGTACTGTACCTTATTTACGCAAGAACCACAGAAGACCTATTTTACATCCAAATTTGACTTTAAAAAAAAAGGCAAAACGCCAGTTTTTGGAATGGTTCAGAAATTAACTCCAAATTGAATATAATCGTAATAACTCACATTAAAAATTTTCGCATGTCTGAGCAATTGAAATTACTGAGGGCAACTTTGAGGAAGCGTAGAGATTGTTTCTTCTCCGATTCGTTTTCCGCTTTCGAAACAACACAATGATCATAGAATACAGTATTGTACTACAGTACATGCAACATTGATTTAGTTCCTAAAAGAATAAAGCAAGCGACCTCATTAGCAGCTTCGTATTACGAAGTACCAGTATATATTTTTTGAAGATACTGTAGACTAACAATTAAAATTGATACATTTCGTAGCCCATTCTTCGAAGTAAGTTTTCAACACGATTTTGATCTTAGTGAGCTTTCAAATTTCCAAGTCAACTGTTTTACCAGCTAGACAACATTGTATTCGCGAAAAAAAGTACCTCAATTTCGCATTCGAACGTAACCTATTATGAGCCACGCGTCCAACTTTGCATATCTCAATAAAGAGCACATTTATACCGTCTCGGAATTCGAAGACACGACGCCATTTCTTCGTGCTTTTGTGCAAGCTGAGCCTTTTCTTCCGATGAAAGCACGCCGATCTTGGAAGAAGGGGGAATGAAAGTCATGTTGAGTCGAGCAGCTTTGAAATCAGTTCCGGCCAGTTCCGCCGTCGCGAGAAACTCGTCCAAGTTGTTGGACTCGGTAACAGAGCGCAAATTGAGACGATTCCAGTCCGCTCCATCTTTGAGTTCGGCGGCATGAAGCTGTGGATTCATAAATGAAATACACAATAATTAAATACTGTAACGGTATTCGGAGGAAATCGATATTCATACTTTATTCTAGGATTTCTCGAATTCCATTTAAAAATCTGGAGGGCTTTAGGTTAATATTTTATTGACACAGGAAAGAGAAAAGCAATAAAAATGTAACTCCATGCTTTTTGAAAAAACGTGAATGACAAATTCGGAAAATGAACCCTTGTCTCCAAGCTCAACATCCTGTCAACTCATTCAAAATGCAAATAAAGGACTAGAATATCACCAATTACAATTTCCTGTTACTTTTCTTTCTTTCCTCCAATACAAATGCTTGTTTCCCAAACTCGAATACTACATATCTCGAATGTTTTTTATGGTCCCTTGAAGTCAGACTGTACTTTGATGACATGTGGTGTTATTTTCGCATTTGGGTTAAAACTTCCCGACTCAAAAAATAGACAAATTTCGCAACAGCTTCGAAAGGAAGGAATCTAAAATTAAATTCGGGTACTCTACTAAAATCAACTCACCATAGATTCTCCCCGATCATGTCGCTTTTTGCTGAACTTATCCTTGACAAGCGCTCTTCCAAGGTTGGATTTCTTGGGTTGTTTCGGCATTGCGGATAATTCGCACTATTCAATCATTTCACACAATACCACCAATTGCACTTCCTACAAAAATATGAACTCAATTCGGTCCTGCTTACGGTTCTTATATGCACTTATTCGCACGGTTCATCTCAAGGTCTGAACTTCAGAAGTTCGAATAACTTTTTTTTTTCATTTCCATGCCTCCCCAAAAATAAGACGTCACCAATTACTGTATTATCGTCGAAGAAACAAGAACTCGGTTTTATTCTCGCGGTCTGTTCTCAATTTTTTCGGGCTGACGATGGACATGAATATTTCCGTCGGATTTCAATCGATGAACACCAGAAACTATGAATGTCAAATCGATCCGAATCGAACTTTTCTTTCTCAAATATCATTTTAAGCTCCGGTATCAGTTCATGAAATCAGGATGAACAGATATTCCGAGTTCCATTTATTCGAAGAACAAATTTCTATAATCCTGAGATGTTAGTTTAGAAATCGAAGCTCACAAATAAATGGGGTCCATAAATCGAAGGATGTCTCGTTTTCAAAGAAGCATGATAAAAAATGAACTGATTTACGACACCAATGCTGAAGAAAATTGGGATCCTGCGTAGAGTGAATTTCGAATTCCGTTTACATTAATCGTTCATTACGCAATGCAAAATGTCATCCCCACGAAGCGACCCATCCAGGATTTCAATCTCTTTACGAAATCAAACGCATTCAGAATTTGAGACGTGACCGGTAATTGAAATTCATCAGTAATTGGACACTGCAGAATACAAGTAGAGCGCACGTTCATCCACTAGCACTATCATAGACAAAGAGGACATGCTATGATGAGAAATACACGGGCATCACACTTCGCCTAGACACTGTTCAACTGACTTAAATGATGATCGGGGTATCACCAAGGTCTTCTTCGCTTGGGATAATTAGGTACTTCTGGTCAATCAAGTCCGGACTGATGAGGGGAAGTCCGAGCTTTTCTCGTCGTCTCAACTCCAGGTAGGCCTCTCGCTGCGCCCAGTCTTTAAGCCTGCAAAATTTTAATGAGCAAAAATTGATCCACAATTTCAAAAATGCCTCTCCGTCAAGTGAACCACAGCCACTGTGTAATGTGCGAATAGGAAATGATGTTACTAAAAAACTATGATCCACATTCCACACTTGAAGTCGCGGATACCGTGACGAGGAACTTTCCTGATTGAGAAGACACACGTTAGTGGAGTGAACAATACCAGAGAAAAAAGGTTACCAACTCACTATAGCGACCCCAATGCTACCTCATTAACCCTCATTTGTAAAGAAGGGTTGACAAAATCGACTTCTATCATGAATTACTCGAAATGCAGCAAAGGGAAAATGAAATCCTGGGTAGGTCAGACACCTTCAGTTACAACGTACTTGTAATCTGGGCCATAAGCGATAATCAGGCCTGAACCCACAACAACAAGTGTGAAGAAACCGAAGAAAGACACGTGCATGGCGGCCCTGTCGGCATCCTTGTCTGAGCGATCCCAGCCATAACAAATCCAATTCTGTCAAAAATTCGAGATTTCAAAACACAAATACGAATAGGAGAAGAACACTATCTTGCCTTCTTCTGTTCGTCGGTCAGATCGGGGAGAATAGGTTTCTCGAATGCGTTGATCCTAGACTCCGGCAGCTGAGAAGCAATGTCTTTCTGTCCTGGAGTTGTTTTAACATTTCGAATTGCTGAAGACATAGGCAAACTTGCTTTACATAATTGACGGAGTGCCGTCAAACGAGCGACACTCATAATTTGAAGCTGAGCCATCTGAAAGAGAGTTTCGTATAATTTCACTTGTATCAAAGAACTAAGCTGAAATTCCAGGGCATCATTTTTAATATTCTTGTCAATTCCTACGAGCACACGAAAATATGACGACGTTGTTCACCACTGCACAAGAATGTAATATCCCGATGTAATTTTTAATCACATTCCGCGGAACGGAGCGAAATACGCGAAGATAAGGGCATGGGAACTGCGATTCAACAATGCATGAAAAATGTATCATTCCTAGGCCGTAAGGGGTACTTACGCGTGGAAATTGTCCCATATCGCGTAGGGTCCGACTTTTTTTTAGAATATTCCGGCTGAAATTTCTGGAACACGGTTAAGTCGGTAAATCACGATCAATTATAACCGGGAAACAGTTCCCACTTCACTGACTTTATGCTCAAAGCGCGCGATTTTCCATGGTGAATGACTAAATCTGTGAGAAATCAAGGGCATACTGTTTTCTGTTCAATATACGCTCAACAGTTTCCATCGCGGACGAAGGGATTAGAGCAGCCGATGAAAATATCCGGGAATAAGTCAGGATGTTGCAGCATTGTTACCGCCCCGCACCCGCTGAACGTCATGCAACAGCGACCTCTATGGAAAATGTAATAAAGTATTTTCTCGAATTCCATGTACGACATCTACGAAATTGAAATTTAAGCAATGTTCTGGTTGAAAACCAGCAAATCGGGCAACTTGTGATCTGGCTGGCCCACTTTACGGGAGTACAGTATTTCCAAATACTGTACTGTGCTGCATTTGACATGTTTATCCTATTTTAAGTAAGGTATGTACCCAGTATGTATCTACCTTGCACATCATTTTTCTGCAAAATAAAGGCAGACATTGTGCTGCTTGTGGTATGAGGACATACGTTTTTTGAAGTACTGTAAGTGGAAAATCTTGCATCACCCACAATGGTGGAAACCCTAAATGAGCCTCTGGAGTTGAAAATCACAGCAAGAAAATATTATAGGGCACCAATTATTTCAGAGTCCTCTCATTTTAAGATATGTATGTAGGGGATTATTTTGCCCAATACTTTTATTTCAGTCAACTAAATTTTGTATTAAAAAAGGGGTTGCACATCATATGCCAGAGCACAGAGGGCACATTTTTGGTCAAAATCCACACACATAAAAAACTGATGTTTACATTTTACTTCGGCATGTAGTGCCAAAGTAAAGAATATATTCTTCTAGATTGAGTGCTTTTCTCATTTGCTAACGAGATCCTTGCGCAAACCATACAACTTTATCTCTGACGACACTTCGATCGTCCCCAAGTAAATACACGTTTACACTAGAGTTTGAATTATCACATTTCATCATAGCATCCTTCAATAAAATTACATTTATTTATGCAAATGAAAGATTTCCGCAAATTTACTGGAAAGCACAGAAAAAAGAACAAAAACGAAAATGTCATCGCATCAAAATCATCTTCATTACACAAAAAAATGCAGAAGCTTGGGCACAAATCGGGTAATACATCAATCAGAAAAGAAACATAAAAGCGAGTGACTAGTCCCAGAAACATTAAATGAAATAGAAATAAACAAAACAGCGAATTTCCCTCGTCTCGCACATTTACACATGACTTTCATTCAAATATTTCCAGACGCCTCGAAGTTTTGGTTCAGCAGTCTCAAACATAATATTAAACCACCTCTCACAGAACATGTTCCCTCTCATGGGAGAATTTGATTGATGCATCAATGTTAAATTTTTCAACTCGGATTAGTCGATTGGTATCTCAATTAACTCGAAAGGAACCATCAATGGTTCAAAATTTGTTGAACAGCTTGAATACGGCAACACCCTATGAGCTTGATGATGCTTTTATTCGCGTAATAGGTGAAAATGCTTCCAACCATAAGTTTAATTCTTGAAGAATTTCCCGTTATAATCTCCATGAATTACACTGTTCATTTATTATCCAACATTTACATTACTGTACTTTCATCAGAAATATTCTGCATTCCTCTCTAGCCATCTTCTTCATCCTGCTCAATTAAAAAGATTGTGGGGAGAAGTTTCAGGAAAAATAAGATCTCGTGGTTTAACTGGAATTCCATTACTGAAAACTTCACGTGTCACTTCTCAACCTATAAATTAAAATATAAAACCTCAAGTTTCGAAGCGCATATTGGACCCAAAGATGACACGAGGTACCACTTCACTTCATATAATAAAGGCTCTGTCAAACACAACAACGCTCTTTCGCAAATAAAGAAACGGGAGCAGAAACATGGCGTTCCGCCTTTGCACAGATCTCAGGGTTGGTAGCTGGGAACACTCAGGTTCAAGGGGAACTCTTCAGAAACCGCTTGAGTCCCGAGTTCGACAAGGGCCATG